GGGGGGGGGGACAATGTGCCCCGCCACGGGGCAAGTTGGCCCCAGGGTCGGGGCAAGTTTCAGTTTCGTACCTATACGAAAATGAAGTAAGTATCCCATGTAAACACCCTGAAATACATTTTTATACATTTTTTATTTATTAAATTGATTTTTGAGAGTCTTTGATGAATAAATAGTTCAAATGAGGCAGATTTATTGAGGCTTCCGTACGTCACGTTGTATGTTTTGCAAAAACCAAAATATCTACCAATAAAATTTGTTTTGTTTTAATTAAGAATAAATTAATAATGGTATAAAGCAGGTTTTTAATGAATGAAAACGAATAATAAATTTTCGTTTTAAAAGAAACTAACAAATTCAGTTTTAAACTGGTAATTGCCTCCGCCAAGGAGGTTATGTTTTCACCCCTGTTTGTTTGTCTGTTTGTCCGTCTGTCATCAACATAACACAAAAAGTTATGGACCGATTTTGATGAAATTTCCAGGAACTCTGAGAAGTGGTCCAAGGAACAGTTGATTAGTTTTTGGTGGTGATCCGGATCAATTATCAATCAATAATCAATAATCAATAATCAAAAATATCGAAAATTTAGGGGTGAAACGGCATTAGATGAAGACTTTGCTGCATTGGGGGGAGGTCTGCGCTCTCGGGGTGCTTTTCTAGTTTTACCTCGTAGTTACTTTTTTATAAATTGACGGGGGGCCAACTTACTTCGGGGTCCAACTAGCCCCTGCCTCCCCTAGATTGTTGTTATTGTTGTTGTTTACGTTGTTTGTTGTCTGTGAATGCGTTGTTTATGTTGTTTGCCGTTTTTATAGGTGTTGGCTCACCAGAAGTTTGAGGCAGTTAACACTAATTAAAAACAAAGGTAAGGTATGTATCGATGGATATCAAACTCGTAGAAAAAGTTTCACGGCAATTAGGAATTTGACTGCAACATTTAGCATTTAGCAAGAACAGGGCAAACTATGTTTCCGAGTTTACCGTCGGAAGATGTCTGCACAATCGCCGTTATATATTCTGGTTGAAGCACAAAGAGTTATATAATCTGGCAGATTTTCACACGTCGAGTCAGATGTTATACCGGAACTCTGGCATGGGCATCAACCAATCACTCGGCATTTATACCGGCCTCAGATTAAAGCAGGTTAAGCGTTGTCAGAATTTATGGACACGTAGGGGTTAACTTATTCCCAATTTTCTGTCTCTGCCTTCCCAATTTTATGCCTCTGGTCTACAGGAGAACCTCCGTTCAGATATATCGAGCTCTCTGGCAGCCAGATGGTAACACGACGGTCTATAGGGTCTATTTCAGTCACCCTCCCCACCACGCGACCTCACAGCGGTGCCCTGTTTATTAGATAACCTGTCTCTTAATCGTAGTTGTACAATATTGCAGACAATGTACCCTCTAATTCCAATAAATTCTTTATTAATCGGTTTGCCTGTACGAATATACAAGTAACGATCGATCGAGAGCGCCTCAAAACATAAAAGTGACGCTTAAATCAGATGAGAGCTTGCATCAAAGATTTTATTGGTACGCAGAATAAGAGAATTCTCAGTAATGAAAACAAGAATAAGATAATTCTCAGCAATGAAAACAAGAAAGTGTTTCACGAAGAAACTGTATTTAAAAAGTGTCATTTTCTCTACAACAACATTAGTCCATCCAAAATTAAGGTAGAATACGAACTCTAGGCGATGCACAAGTACATGTCCATGTACACGTAACAATATCCAACAAATAACTTAGGCAAGAATTTCATCAGCTGCGTAATGTTATAAGAGTAAAGTGATTTTTCCTCAATCCACAGCCAATATCGAAATACTGGCGGTTAATGCTGATGATTTAATAAATATCACTTAAATCTTCCAAGTAAATACAGAAAAATAATATGAAGCTTTTGGTTTTGAAAAGTTATTTAAAATACATGTATCCACAACACTTTTTATTATGCAAAATAATCTCCCCAAAAGCTAGCTCAATGTTATAAGGATCACAGTAGGTCCGTGTATGCCTGGTATGAGTGGTTCCTTGCATGTCCGTGCTGCAAAGGGTCCGTGTATTTCGTGACCGGATTAGATCCAATGATATACGGATTGGAAAAGATCTTGAAGCAAGGCTCTATTTATTTTTTTTTTTCAGCACAACCGCCTCTCATTTCGAAAGTGACGCGATTTAAATTTATCTGCACCTGAAAAAAGTGTATTGTTTGCTAAAATCAGTTAGAGCCATATATCGATCATAGACCTAATGAATGCAAAATCCTACCCATTTCCCGACTGTTTATTTAATTAGTCAACCCCTCCTTTCCCCTTAAAATAGTCTCGTACATGTTTCGTTCACTTTAAGAAAACATTAGGCTGCCTTTGTAATCCAAAAATTGTAAACAACTCCCTCCCTCCACATCAAACCCGGTGTGAAAGGAATGGTAGTCAGCTAGGAACCGTAGTCCGTTCCCCATTACTTTGTAAAGATGAAATTCATCCCATGTACTAACCCCAACAACCCTTACATGTCTTGATCATATATGGTACCCCGGACTTCCATTCCTATACTAGAACTGCCATTTCTTTCACACGGTCGTGACTGTGAAAGAGCTTGACGTTGAATCCACAGTGCGCGGCACTATTTTTTTTTTTCGTTCACCAATTCTACATTAAGGATTAAATTTACTCACTCAATGGGTTCGACGAGCCCCAAGCTCTGTTTCCAACTGTTTCCAAAAACGGTGACATCGTTTTCCACGGTGCCTTCCGGTGTTAAGAAATCGTCGTCGTCGTCATTTCCGTCCATATTCCCGCATATGCCGCGGAGTTGGCCATTGTATGAAGCGGGTACTCGCACCCACACCTGGAAGAGACGCAGAACAGGGCCCCGTTACTCGAAAGCATCGCGTATTGCGAATAGAGATATCACACAGAGGCTACAATGTATTATATGGGGCGAGTATGGGCGAGTTATGGAATCGAGACGCTTGCTCTAGGTCGCAATGCGCGTTGCTTTCGAGATACGGGCCCAGATTGATATTTAAAAAAAGCAAACAGCAAACAGTTCTTGATGACCATGTATTGTGCTGAAGCCGTATTGGATCAATGGTTTTTAACTCGCATTTTTTAAAAACTTTTCACGCAAGTCTGATTAGTCACGTAAGTTGGTGCATTGGTTGCAAGATGTTGTTAGTTACAAACTTCTGATGTTACGACCACTGGCCTTAGTCTGTTGAAAAAAAGGAACCAACGAATATCTTATTAATAAAATACTTGCTCGTGACATGTGCCAGAGGAAGCATGATGCACTTTGTACCTAGATTGAAAGAGTGGTTGAGGTAATTGCGATTTAAGAAAACAACTTTGCTTAAAAATTAAAATTTGAGAGTCTTAGACTACGCCCTTGGACCGACGAACCCTTATTCAGCCTTGCTGTCAACTGTGACGGCTTGTGTATCACTTCGAATTTAACAGAAATATTTGACTTAATAAATAAAGCCACACGCTGTATTCTCATTTTCGTTGATTGTACCTGCAGAGTTTCAAGAACAGGCAGTTATTTCAACCAGATTCAAAACACATTCAAACCAATGATTAAAAAGAAAAGAGCGTACGTTATGAGAATTTATGAATTAATACTTAAATAAACTTGGGTCGACTCTGCATCTATAAGCAAAAGCCAATTTACCTTGTGTTTCCTGTTGGCGTTGGTCAATTTCTGAAGTTCGACCTCCAGCCCAAAACTTGTCAGCAATCGCACATAGCCTGGGTGATGATGGGTGACGTTGAAGTTGCTCTCTGTATGGGGGATGTTTGCGATTTCGTCGTCGAGCTGAATAAAGTAAAATGATTTTATACTTAGGCTGCCCTTGAAGGGCTGCCCATTGAAAAAAATCAACAACCAATGATGATTATATTATATTCGTTTTTTTATATATACAAAGCTAAACTGCGATTACCAAACGATAAAATGTACAATATAAATGTATGGATATCTATAATGGCTAAAAGCAGTCTAAATCATTGCTTTACTATTTGTATATTTTACTATTTTTGTATAAATATGACCACAACGTCTCTCGATGTCATCAATCCTCGCTGAATCCTTGAATATAATTCTATCAATTTCTACAAAATATATTTGCTTTTGCACCTACCAAAATGACATCCCTTTCCATGTCCAGGCGAACAGTGTGTCCATGCACTATTACCCACACCGCCGTGCTGAAGGTCAAATCGTCATGGTTTGGCAACAGACTGTTGGAGACCAACACTCTGAAGCTGTCAGTTGGAGGGTTATTCATATTAAAATTGGATGTTTCCGACACGATGTAGGTACACCTGCCTGTTTAGTGGAAAATTTAAAGCATTCTTTTAAACAAGTTGAGGCTCTAGGATAGGAGGCTAAGGGAGCATTCCGAACAAATTGATCTGGGGACTAACAGATCCGCGGATCAAATATGGCCGACCCACTTGAAAGCTTGTTTCACAATCCACTGATAGACACTGAATAGATTCCCTGCGACGATAACCCGATAAGCTTTCAAGTGGCGGCCATATTTGATTCGTAGATCTGTTAGTCCGAGGATCAACTTTGGCTGTGAATGCACCCCATGTGTTACACATATAGGCCTACCAGCACCCTATACCCTCTACCAGAGTGGCAGATATTATAGGGAAATAGAAAAAGCCAGACGTAGTAAAATGACCGTCTATTTATCTCAAGACATATCTGTGAATACCCTGTGAAAAGTCAATGCGTGGCCCTGGTAGAGGGTACCAGCACCTTAATTCACGATCAATGTACTGGGTCAGTGACTGGAGTCAACAAACAAGGCACGTGAAATTTAAGATAAATAAACACAGGAAATATATGCCAGTGCTGGTAACTTTGAAACTTATAAAACAAAAAAGATTTTAAAATAAGAAGACGTTTAAAAAATGTGATGTTTTCAAGACTGAGATCGATCAAATTGTCAGTCGCTCAAAATGAGCCGGTACAGACTTGATTAATAAAGTATACCGCCCAATGAGAAAAGTAGCATTGAGAAAAAAAATGGATTCCAAATTTACTTGTAAATAGTCACATTAAAAGTATAGGTATAAGAGTGCCGTTATTTGTCGCAGTATACTGTAGGCCTACCCTTAGGAAGTTATTCTTTATATTAGTAGGAGAAAACTGACAGATACCTTGAAAATCCAAGGCGTCGTATCCGTCAAACTGCAGGTAATGAGGATCTCCGCGGATGAAACATTCGTGTGGTTTATCTGAAATATATAATTAAACATGGTGAGTATTCCTAGGAGCATTTTGATTTTTTTTGTTCAGAGGTTTGCTTTGAAAAGATATGTTATGGTGTTTATTATTGGGTGCGTGGATGCGTTTCTTGACGCATTTATGCACTGAAGTTCATTTTAACTCTTTTGGAGTTCAAAATAAAAATATTTTTATAATATAACGTCGATATCCGGTTGATAACCACCGCTTCTCTCGTAAACTTAAGTTAATAAAATAAAAATCTTAAGATCAGTGTGCATTTTATCTACTGTAGTTTGCTATCGTCCGCTTGCTATGGTTAGTGTGTAAGAAAGAACTGTCAAGTACGGTATTAGTGCGTCATAGTCCTAAATATCATACACATGCAATTATTCTTCACATTATAAGACGAAACCAGTTCAAGCCGAGCAAACTCAGTGGATTAATTTCGTCAAAAGGAAAAACAACTTACTATGGTGTCCAGCTACCAGCACCAATGCACACATCCCGACGACGAGAGTAAAAGTATTCATTCTTCCTTCCTCTCTGTAACGAAGAAAATTATATAGGTCAAAATAAATCGTGAATTTAGTTTGGGATTTTTAAGATATTAGGCTAATAAAGTTCAGTCTTTTGAACTCCCCCATCCCCACACACATCACCCCTCCACATAGGTCTTGGTAACGTTATATACTTTTTGACGCTGTTTGTGGTTGTTTTTTTTTTCTAATAACACTATGTTTACAGACAACTGCAAAATCAATCCCGAACATGAAGAACAAAATGAGCTCACCGTCAACCTGTAAGTTGCCCAGTGTCCTATGGCCTGCCACACTGAATACGTGTTGTTTTCGTAACCATTCGGTAGGACATGTTTAATTAGGTCGAAACTGCAGCGAATTTCTATTTTCTTCATCTTAATAATATTTTTAGTTACCCTTTGTTCATTACTCATCGGAGGTTTTCCTTTAATTAATTTATCAATCATCATCATTATCAATATAAAATTTCGCACAGTGGTACTTTCTTTCATTGCCCCCGACGCCTTTATCAAAAAACCAAACAAATACGGTAGAAAATTTGACAAAATGACATCATATTTTTTGTAAATTCTCTTTAGGTTCTAAGTAAAATATATGTGGATTTAATGCCACGTCATCAGATATCTATTAGAAAAAAACTATCAACGTATAAATATAAAATAAAGTATATAACATAAATACAAAGAAGATAAGTAATGCAACAGACGCTAAAAGCTGAAATCGTGGAATCGCACTTTACTGTGTTCTTATATAGAATACGTAATATACGTTTCTTACCTGTTATTTGAGTACCTTAGACAATATGGTTTGTATTCGGTATAGCTGTTCGAAGACGTTGAAATGGATTAATAATGCCACACACTTTTTATTCGCCGTGTTGAACACCTGTTACATTTGCATGGGCGTATGGGTCGATGCGCATTAGTACATCCTGGTATTTGCTAATTAACAAAGCATAGAAACTATATGCTTTCTTACTTGATGATGGCAATTGTTAAAAAAAACTTTTTAAATACACGTTCTCAAGAATTTGCACTTCTAAATAAAGGTACACCATTGTCCCCTTTGAGTCTTTTTGTAACGTGCATATAAAATATAAAACACTGTATACGCTAAATATGAGAACCAAATAGGTAAATAACATTAAATTGAACATTTTCTCAGAACAGGCCTGTAGTGAGTTAACAAGAAAAAGGGTTATTTTTCTAAAAAGGTAGACCTTTGTATTCTTGAAGTTGACCCAATTTGTAAAATGCCATATAGAACCGAAATCAAATTTTGATTCAATCTGGGCATTTTCCGATCATTTTTTTTTGCTGAATAATTTGGCATTGTTTGACAATGTGGATTCCGTTTAACAAATATATGTGGCAGCAGCATCTTTTAAATAATTCGAATGGTAAACAATCGTGTGCGATTATTCATCTGAACGATCCCTTTGCAAATAATAATCGAAGGTCAGCTTAATTAACGAAACATGGAGATACAAACAAACAGGTCGATAATGAACTGTTCAGATTATCCGTATGACGGTGTCTTGAATAAGATTTCTCAGTTTATCAGAGACAGTGTAAAAAAATGAACATAGTCATGCATTCGTGCTTCAGACAGTTAGAAATTCTGAACCAAAAAGAAACGTCATGTTTTCACTCCATACCAAAAATATGATTTTCACAAGATTCAAATTTTGAATGGTGGCTGAAAATCTCAGACGTTTGTATTTTGTCATAATTAATTATTTATAAGTTTTGAAGTGACTTATATTTGATGGACGTCTCCCATGTCTTGTGAAGATAAATTCATTCTGAATATTGATACAGATTAAACCGAAATGGTAATGGCAATAACGACGGCAGTTTAAAACAAAAACAATGGAGCCCGTATTAAACAAGAAACGAAAACACAGAGAATTTTTTCATAGATTGACACAGGTAGATAGACTTCAAACCCCGCTTTAACATTAACATATTTTATTTACCTGTGACTTCCTTTTTCGCCTTCTTTAATATAAAAAGCACTAATATAAATAACAGTGTTTGGATTCTTATCAAGCTGTGCAGCGGACGTCATTGTGCAAAGATAAAACAAAATAATTGTGTTTTTATAATTTAGTATTGACGCAAAGAGAGCAGATGTTTTTAAGCCTAAAGTAAATCACGGCCTCAGAGCAAAAAGCAAAACACCTAGATAGGTGATATCACGTCCGGATTTCAATGTCAAACGTATGACTATCTGCCTAACAAACCGACGTTTTACCGACGTGATCAAACAAAAAAGTCTTTAAATAGTTTATTTCTGATCCAATACCACAAAAATATATCGTAATGTGGCAGTCCAAGGACCAGTGGGGATTGGCAACGCCCCTATTACTTGCATTCATTTCAGAGGTACAACTAGATAAACATCCTTTCACTGCTTAAAATATATATATATTTGTATCCAAAGATACTTGTTGAAGTAGGGCAAATATGATCTTTTCCAATTGCTGTCCTTCAGCACTCGCCCAATAGTAAAATGTTTAGGTCGCATGTACCTTCGCAGATCATACGGTTGTTTCCTTGGGCACAGTTGGTCTTGGGGTTGATGATAACGACGTCTTTGATGTTTTAGGCCGAAGCTGCAGTGTTGGGGTGGGTGACGGGGGCTGCAACTTCGTCACAACAGTAGCATTTGAGGCCTTTAATTCTTTAAAAAATTCATAATCATCTGCAAGCTCAAAGGCTGATTTCATCTCTTTATTTCGAATGGACGGGTCGGCGCTGCTTAGTAATAACAATTTCACCAAGGCAAGGTGTTTATTTTGCAATGCAAGATGGAGACTGGTTTCTCCGTAGGAGTTTTGAGAGTTTACACGACAACCATGTTTGATAAGGATGTTAGTCGTGTCCAGCTTGCAGTTCATCACGGCTTCGTGCAGCGGTGTGTCTTGTACTGCGTTTTTTGCATTGACCTTTGCCCCGGAAACGATCAGCGAGCAAGTGGCAGCCACGTGTCCCTCTCTGGCTGCGTGATGTAGAGGTGTGGAACCCGAAGCATTGACGGAGTTAACCGAAGCGCCTCGTGATAGTAGGGTTTCCAAAACTTTCGTTTGCCCTAAAGGAATAAAATGAAAGAGGGTTGACGTTGAAACCAATCAGTAAATACTGAAATATTCCCCACGAGTGTATTTTCGTTCATACTTAATATTGAACCCTGACAATATACGTACCTTTTATTGCAGCAAAGTGTAGCGGGGATTCCTTTCTCCACGAATTCTGGGAATTTACGTCTGCATTGTATTTTAGAAGAAGATTGACTGCCTCAACATTACCTTAAAAAGAAAGTGCAACATTACCTTAAAAAAGAAAATGCGAAACGTTGGAACTTCTTTTCATTTCAAACTAGAAGAGCACTCAGAGTGACCTCATAGTCTACAAAACTTTGTAGCTATGCATGATATACCGACCAAACACTGATAAATTGTGTTAGTTGAGAACACATCCATTGATAATGGTGCTCATGAAAATCCAATCAGTTAGCCTATTTCTGAGCTATCCTGAAGATTTCATCAAAATTTATTTATAACTTGTTGAGTTCGGCCGGTGACGAACAGACAAACAAACAAACAAGCACACAACCAGAAGTAAAAACATACCCTTCTTGGCGGAGGTGCATTAAGAATACCAGCCTATCATAATTCCCAATTTTAATCAAATTTGACTGAGTATGAAAAATAGGTAAAAGTGGGCGTTTAACTTTAGTTATGCTTTTTCTTACTATATCTTTACTCTAACTTTTTCATCTATTATGCATTACCTATAATAGCTGCGGTGTGCAGAGCGCTGTACCAATGTTTCCCTTTCTCTGTGCACATGCTACCGGTAGTGTCGCGTGCTTCTTCCAACAACCTTTTTGCCTCGTCCAAATCATCTCCTTCGACTGCTTTGATCAATTTTGAACAAAACTGAGATGTCGCCTGTTGCGATTGTAAAAATGACCTCTGTTCATTGAAAGAATCGAAAGTTCCTGGTTGTTCTATTGAAGCCAGCTCACCATTTATCTCAGACTTGTAAAATTCGGTTGGCATTTCGATCAGTGAACAGACTTACCACCAGTTTCAGAATCGTAATTAAATAAAATATTACAGAAAAAAATGCTGAAACGTGAACTGTGCAAACCCTATGCAGTCTCAAAAAAGCAAGCCAACAGCCAGTTTATGTGTTTCAGTATGCTAAAATATACTTATAGTGACATGGAGCTAATTGGCTGAACCCTTATCAGGTGTTTGGGAAAATACTACTTAATTCGATGTTACTAAGTCAGTAATCTATGAATGTATTTCCAGTCAAGTTACAATGTACGACAGTTTAACTGGGTAGGATCTGTGTTATAACTAATGATATTTTTAAATAGTTAAAACCATAGAAAGCCAATATTAGAAGACGCATCTGATGACAGTTACGGTAGTGTTGGGTGGGAGGACAGAGGGATTAGAGTGAAGACCCCGTGATCAGAAACCCTACGTTAAGTTTAGTTACGCCGACCCGCTTAGTTCCATGTATGTCGCTATAGTTTGGCTGAAAATGCGTCCCATGTATTGATAACAAGCAACTTACGTTCAATTACCTGAACAGAAAGATCGCTGAAAGCACCGCACAATAAACAGTTATGCACGTCCTGCTTATCTTTCCAAACATTGATTAAGGCTTTTCACGTTACAATGCAAATGATATTAGCAAGTTTATAATGGCTGGCATATTTAAAAAAACGTCGACGGATAAAATCCACAATAACAGCAATGACGAAACAGAAGCTAATTCTCGCCTTCCCCCCCCCCCCCCCCCAGCGGAGGCAGAGCAACTTATTAAATCTCAGCACGCTTTCAAGTGGGTGGCGCCCTATTTAACATGCGGATCTGTTAGTCCACAAATACACTTATTTTAATGCACCCGTAAACGCAGCTTTCGTATTCACATGTATGTAACATGGATAATTTTTGTAAGCCTTATTAAACGGGCCTCATCATGTAGAGAAGAAACCATATCAGGGAACGACAGACTGAGTCTCAGTTTCAATGAGACATCTTCGGGGCCGAAAGAAAAACGGGTATTATTTATTTATTTATTATTCGGGAGATGGTTTTTTTTTTTTTTTTTTTGGAAAGTTACCTTTGTGAATCCTGATATTGTAATAAAAGGGATGTCCAGTGCCTTGATGCCCTCGGCTACTTCTATACGTGTCACAGTTTTATCCTACTTCTCCTCTGTAACCAAGGTCAAAAGTGCAATCGTCCTGTAAGGTCCCAGACGACATGGGACCCCTGGACGGATTGTGTAAGTACTGTTACTAAATTCCCCATAGCCGTCAGACTGTTACAAAATAAGACGAGGGGCGTTTTAGTCACGTTTTTAACCGAATTATCAATTGTTTTCTGTTCATCTATTTTTCACTCGAAATATACTTGGTTGGTTTTATATTATAATCCGTTCATAATCATTTGCTTCATTTTATCTCATTTATCCATTTCATATTCTTTTAATTTTATCATTACTATTCAATTATTTTATTGTTATATGATTATAATATAGTTGTGATTATGATTATTATTTTTATTATTATCATTATTATTTTGTGTGAATCTGTTCCGTTAAATTAATAAATCCCGTTTATCTTTTTGATATTTTTCCCCTTGTCGCATTTTTTTTTCATGCTGTGCGGTAAAAATGTTACATGTAACTTAAGATCCTTTAAGTGGGCTGCGTTGTTAAATCATAACAAAAGATGAAATTGACGAAAATTACATAACCGCCCATTTTACGTGTCTGTTCAAGCCCGCATGGCGGGTCTAGTGGTTATGATTATCCCTTATTATTCATGATCAGATTGTTTGGTGCTTTAATTTTACAAACTTTGACGTATTTGTCGAAAGATTGTCTTGATCTTTCAGCATTTCAAATGTTTTAATAAGAAAAGGTACAAAAGAAATTAAAGCAGCCTCATCCTAGGGTTTTTGTCTTCATGCTGTGTGGTAAAATGTTACATGTAACTTTAGATCCTTTATGTGGGCTGTGTTGTTAAATGTTAACAAAAGATGAAATTCACAAAAAGTTACATAACTGCCCGTTTTTTACGTTTCTGTTAAAGCCCGCAGACACCGCCTCGGTTTTTTATTACATCTTTCACAAAATGCATCCTTCAAAGCGGATGAAGGGCCTTTGCTATTCCAATTGACGTTTAGATTAATTCAGGTATGAAATTTCCCATGACACAGGTCATGAATCATGTTACATACCTGCTTGACTGATGTCCACTATTTAAAAGATGACAGGGGTCCGTGATATCATCTTGTGCACGACACCCTTGCAATTAACGTGTTAAGTAGTTGCATGCGTAAGACATCGTGGGACATTACTTGATGCAAAGTGCAACCAACATATCAGTCTTTTTGCGTCGTGAGAAAAGTTAGAAAGAGAGAAAGACAAGAAGATGTTTGCAATTTTTGCGGCTGCTTCCTCGACCCTTTCTGAGGCGACGAAGGACCATCTGAGCACTTTGCTTTTAATGTTCCTGATATTATTGATTGGATTGGTGAGCAAAATTCTCAATGATAAGCACGTGAAGGAGACTGTCGATCCGAAAACCGCTGGTCGAGCCTGTCCCACTCCGCCCGGGCCTATAGCTTGGCCGGTCCTGGGGAACTTGCTTCAGCTGGGCACCAAGCCGCACGTGACGCTTACCAACTGGAGGTCCATGTATGGAGACGTCTACCAGATGCAGATGGGCAGTCGCCCCACTGTTGTCCTGAATGGCCTGGAGACCTGCCGACAAGCACTGGTCAAACAAGCTGAAGATTTTGCTGGTAGGCCTGCCTTTTATTCCTTTAACTTCATTGGCAACGGGAAAAGCATGGGGTTCTGCGATTTTGGCACCCGCTGGAAGTACCATCGTCGCATAGCACAGAATGGCGTAGCAATGTTCGTCAATGACCGGCATAATCCGATAGAAGAGTTTATCAAAGCAGAGGCAGCTTTTCTGGTACAGAAACTCAATGAATCCAACGGAGAGAAATTTAACCCGCATAATGAAATCTACTATTCCGTCGGCAACATAATTTGCGCACTGTGCTTCGGTAAAAGATACAGACGCGACGAGCCAGACTTCCAGCAGCTTGTTAAAATGAACGAAGAATTCATGGCTTTTGCTGGGGCGGGAAACCCAGTGGACATAATGCCCTGGACGCGATGGCTCACGAAACGGTCCTTCGACAAATTCATTGCCATTTTGAAAACCATGGACAATTTTTGCTTGCGTAAGACCAAAGAACATTTAGATACGTACGATGATTCTCTGACCCGGGACATTACCGATTTTCTTATCAAGACCGTTCGTGACACACCACAGGAAGAGAAGGACGCCGCCGAAATTACCGACGAGCATATAATGACGACAGTGCAGGAAATCATCGGCGCCGGCTTTGACACCATCGCTACCACTCTCCAGTGGGGTGTATTGCTTATGACACGCTACCCGGAACACCAAGCTAAGGTCCGTAAAGAGATCGACGCCATTATCGGCCAAGAGCGCGCACCGGAGCGTAGTGACATCGGCACCCTTCCCTTCACCGAGGCTTGCATCTTGGAAACGATGCGTTTTTCGTGCATCTTTCCCTTTGCGCTCCCTCATTCTACCACACGTGACACCGTTTTGAATGGCTTCTTCATTCCGGCCAACACCCTGGTTTTCGTGAACCAATGGAGTATTACGCGCGACGAAAGCAAATTCCCTGATCCGGAGGTGTTCGACCCGCGACGATTTTTGACCGATGACGGCCTGGCATTAGACAAGGCAAAGGCAGAGCTATTCCTCCCTTACGGAGCTGGGCGAAGAAGGTGCCCGGGCGAACCGTTGGCTAAAATAGAAATGTTCATCTTCTTCGTTACACTTCTGCAGAAATGCCGCTTTGAGCCGGTGGTGCTAAACATGAGCACGGAAAGCAAATACGGCCTGACTCTTAAGCCTAAAGATTTCGAGGTGTATGTTAAACCACGTGCATTATAAATTGGAGAACAATTGGTTTACGAGAAAGAAAGAAAGAAAGAAAGAAAAAAGGAGAATAGAAAGAAAGAAAGATAGAAAGAAAAAGAATGGGATAAAACAGTAAGAAAAAAAGATATATCCCCTTGTCTGGATACATATAGGCCTATATTTATGTACATTCGCCATTTTATGCGACAAATACTGTATATGCAAACACATTACTGGAAATAACTATTTGATTATTCTTGGCTAATAGACTACTATAATTTGCACATAAAACAATATAAATGTATATGATCATTCTTTGGATGGGAGCAATCAGAGAGTTAAAACAGTGGTTGAACATTTTGTTCATTCACCCAAAAAAAAAAAAAAAAACTTGGTCTGAAATCTACTCATCTTATAATTTTTTTTATCGACAATGTAGAACTGTATTAATGATGGAACCGTGGCTCTATTTATTCTATTATGCCGAACCATATATTCGAATTTCAACATTCACCTAGAATTAAAAAATTGCGTCTCTTATGATAAGGAAACTTGATAAACAGAGCGCTGATCAAGATTATAACATGTGCAGTTTACCTATAGAATATAGCATGTTTTATTTTATGTAAAAAAGAAACCCCAAACCCACATTTCATCTTTATGTAATTAGAATTGGGTCAAGTCAAGATGCACCGCGTAGAAAAAGTTAAAATAAAAGATGTACTTCATATCATATGTCGTTGTCTTCTACTTGTATATCCGACAATTACGATTCTCTTTATTTTAGTCATATATGGCCTGGTATTAAATATTTGCATCGCAAGAACGCGATATTCGCAATTGCTTAGTAATTTGATATTAGAAAAAAAATAAAGCTTCGTCAATTTTAAAAAGAAAAGCAGAAAATGCAATTCGTTTCATAGCCTATTTTGTGCCTATAATTTGTTCCCTCTACCATGTATGAAAAATATTTGTTAATGATCAGTGTGCTTGTGTATATGACAGTGTTTATTTTTCACAAAAGTTTTCTTTTTCGTCTACTCAGAAATATAGCAATATTTTTGTCTGATTTTTTAAAAAACCCATTTAGTGTGTTCTCATTTCAATTTGTGGAGATTAGAGTGCGAGAGAGGGAGATAAATGGAATCTGAACTTCCGACGTGTAGCACTACAATGTGTCCTTTTAAATACTCGGTTCAAAGACCGGTCAAATACAGGCTTATTGACGAGTGGACACAGAGACGTTTCTTTTATGCACAACTGATAATGTTACTCAAGGCCTGTGCTATACTTGGATCATTGGCCCGCTACTCGAATCTGTGTGCATGTTGTACATGTACACTGGTGTAATGTGTCTGACGAAAAAAAAAAATCCAGTTCGGTTGACATTTTGGTAAAAGATATTGCAGTGGTCGATGGATGGACAACGCTTTTTTTAATGATTAAGGCTAACTTCTCTCTCTCTTTCATTGATGATCTCTCGCACACACATTCAATAATATTAAAAAATAATTTTCCATGGTAGATGTACAGATATTAAAAGTATTATTATAAACAGTTTTTAACCTTTGATTTTTTTGTTCATTTGACAAATGGTGAGAAATTAAGAAATGGAGTCAAATAACCAGGGGCAATTAATCTGTGCTTTTTCCACTCTTGCTGCGTGATGCTTTAGAGGAGTCTGCATTTTCGTCAATAGCAGTTCCACCTCGTATATGAAGTCGCGTTTTAGAAGATTGCGGTCAGTGCGTTTTTATTGATGTCAGGAAAGCTAGAGATCATGTTTGGAACTGAGCTGTCACATCTTCTCAAATGAACCTAAAAAAACTGACTAAAAAAAACAATAAAAAAATGACAAATGTTACGTTTTATTCGTTTTAATGATAAGTTGAATTGTGCTACTTTTTTTACAACATATTTGACCTTTTATTCGATCTTTTAAAGTGTATATAAACGTTCACTACTTCTTTGTGCAATTATCTCTCCAAAAATTTTAATACATCCATTTATCATTCCAATGAAAGACGAAATAACATAAAAATATTCAAAGGATTTCTGTAGAAAGCAAAGTTAAAAAATATGATACTTAAAGCGATAATCTTTGTGGTGAAAAATAAGAAAGAATCAAGAATTTCTGTCATTGACAAAGCTGAGTAAAGATGATATGTACAGTTAGAGTCATTGTGTTGAAAAATAAGATACAATCAAAAATTACTGCCCAAAACAGAGCTGAATAAAGATGTAATTTAAAGTCATATTAGTGAATCTAAAGATAGAATCAAGAAAGCAGGTCTAGCCAGTTGATGTTCTCAACAACGTATCTGGCCGCTCTCCTGATAGCGTTGAGGTATCGGCCGTAGTCAATGGCGTCACCCCTGTAGCGTCTCCCCCTAATCCACCGCAGCGGGAAGAAAANTATGTAATTAGAATTGGGTCAAGTCAAGATGCACCACGTAGAAAAAGTTAAAATAAAAGATGTGCTTCATATCATATGTCGTCGTCTTCTACTTGTATATCCGACAATTACGATTCTCTTTATTAAGTCATATATGGCCTGGTATTAAATATTTGCATCGCAAGAACGAGATATTCGTAATTGCTTAGTAATTTGATATTAGAAAAAAAAATAAAGCTTCGTCAATTTTAAAAAGAAAAGCAGAAAATGCAATTCGTTTCATAGCCTATTTTGTGCCTATAATTTGTTCCCTCTACCATGTATGAAAAATATTTGTTAATGATCAGTGTGCTTGTGTATATGACAGTGTTTATTTTTCACAAAAGTTTTCTTTTTCGTCTACTCAGAAATATAGCAATATTTTTGTCTGATTTTTTAAAAAACCCATTTAGTGTGTTCTCATTTCAATTTGTGGAGATTAGAGTGCGAGAGAGGGAGATAAATGGAATCTGAACTTCCGACGTGTAGCACTACAATGTGTCCTTTTAAATACTCGGTTCAAAGACCGGTCAAATACAGGCTTATTGACGAGTGGACACAGAGACGTTTCTTTTATGCACAACTGATAATGTTACTCAAGGCCTGTGCTATACTTGGATCATTGGCCCGCTACTCGAATCTGTGTGCATGTTGTACATGTACACTGGTGTAATGTGTCTGACGAAAAAAAAAAAACCCAGTTCGGTTGACATTTTGGTAAAAGATATTGCAGTGGTCGATGGATGGACAACGCTTTTTTTAATGATTAAGGCTAACTTCTCTCTCTCTTTCATTGATGATCTCTCGCACACACATTCAATAATATTAAAAAATAATTTTCCATGGTAGATGTACAGATATTAAAAGTATTATTATAAACAGTTTTTAACCTTTGATTTTTTTGTTCATTTGACAAATGGTGAGAAATTAAGAAATGGAGTCAAATAACCAGGGGCAATTAATCTGTGCTTTTTCCACTCTTGCTGCGTGATGCTTTAGAGGAGTCTGCATTTTCGTCAATAGCAGTTCCACCTCGTATATGAAGTCGCGTTTTAGAACGTTGCGGTCAGTGCGTTTTTATTGATGTCAGGAAAGCTAGAGATCATGTTTGGAACTGAGCTGTCACATCTTCTCAAATGAACCTAAAAAAACTGACTTAAAAAAACAATAAAAAGATGACAAATGTTACGTTTTATTCGTTTTAATGATAAGTTGAATTGTGCTACTTTTTTTACAACATATTTGACCTTTTATTCGATCTTTTAAAGTGTATATAAACGTTCACTACTTCTTTGTGCAATTATCTCTCCAAAAATTTTAATACATCCATTTATCATTCCAATGAAAGACGAAATAACATAAAAATATTCAAAGGATTTCTGTAGAAAGCAAAGTTAAAAAATATGATACTTAAAGCGATAATCTTTGTGGTGAAAAATAAGAAAGAATCAAGAATTTCTGTCATTGACAAAGCTGAGTAAAGATGATATGTACAGTTAGAGTCATTGTGTTGAAAAATAAGATACAATCAAAAATTACTGCCCAAAACAGAGCTGAATAAAGATGTAATTTAAAGTCATATTAGTGAATCTAAAGATAGAATCAAGAAAGCAGGTCTAGCCAGTTGATGTTCTCAACAACGTATCTGGCCGCTCTCCTGATAGCGTTGAGGTATCGGCCGTAGTCAATGGCGTCACCCCTGTAGCGTCTCCCCCTAATCCACCGCAGCGGGAAGAAAATGCTGGTCTGTATTTGGCTTTCTCGGGAGCGATTCACACGTCTCCCCACTTTCATGACCAAACGCGGCTGGTTTGTTCTGTCACTCCAGACCTTTAGATGTGCAAGTCGACGCAGATCTTCCAGCGGCATCTTGGGGTGAACGGCTGACAAGACGTCCATCATGTCCATAGCCTCCAAATAGCGCCATACCTCGTCTTCCTCCGCTTGTTGTTGTCTGACAGATTTTCGCTTATCGGGCGATGTTGTTGGAGGGGAAATGGTCAACCACGCTGTCCTCTCTTGGGTCTCTTGCGGTAATGGTAAATGGCAGAGGACTGTTGGAGCCGAGTTCTCCATCAAAGTGACAACATCATCACATAGTTTCCCCGGGTCTTCGCGGTCGGCAATTGACCCTCTTGTTGGCTCCAAACCAATCTGGCAAATCTTCATCCGCATGTATTCCAGTTTGGTAAGCCGCTTGTAGGAGCCCAAAGGAAACAAGAGCTTCGAAACGATGCTGAGTCGATCCTCACGTGACAAATTCACCCTTGGCGCCTATAATGAATAAAGACTGTGGTAAATTTGATTTGGATAATGATAATCAATCGAAGTCGTCATAATAAAATGGCACAACCTCTTTATTACGCAATCAAACTTTATAGTGAGACAAGAAAATGATGCTGAAAAAAGTATAACCGTTCAGTGTTCAAGTTTTAAAACACGCAATTAACATCACTCACTGCGCCCTCTGCGTTGGTTCGGTCATCCTGATCGGTGTTATCCTGGTCCACAAGCTCGTCTGTGTTCCTGGAGGCATTGTTAATATTGGAGTTACGCGTATCGATGTGGTAGGAAGTGGAGGCTCTGATCGGGGTCTCTGGCACGATTTTATCAATACCTTAAAGAAAATCAGATTTTTATGATATCGTTTT